GATGAGAGCTGAGGGTGATTGGGGAGCAATTGGTGGAATGAAGATTGGCAGTACTCGGAGAAAACCTGCCCCAGCGCCACTTTGTCCACCACAAATCCCACTTGACCAGACTCGGGATCGAACCCGAGAAGCCGCGGTGGAAAGCTAGCGACTAACCGCTTGAGCTGTGGCGCGGCCTGATTACCCTCGTATCACCGATACTACACACTTTCTGTGTGTTAATGGAGCGCCCCGAAATAATTATGCATCTCTCTGATTCCTTTCGTCGGTGATTTGGTGCCGCTTTTTCGAGAACTTCTGCAACTTGACATTGTTGTCGATATAAACAGTCTCTTAGACAATTAATCAAGTTACTCAGTATCAATACTTTGAACAGAAATTGGCATTGCTTCTAAGATAATTTCATTGAACCTTGGACAGGTGTCTTATGGTACTGGATATTAATTAATGACAGTGTGTGTTGACAGCTGTGCCAGGGACATGTTCAAACCAAAACATAAGTACATAGAGGCGAACTGTTCCGAATAGATGGCGCCGACCCAGCACATTGTATTGTAATAAATCATATCTCTGCTGGTAAGTTGTACCTGTACGCTGCCTTGCTACATTTCCTACCTCGTAACTTTATCCTTTGTCGGATATCTTTCAGGTTTCATTATTTTAGTTCCTGTCTTTGATCAAGGGGAATGCTAAAGCCATGGAAAGATGTCCGGTGGGTGGTGGGGGTAATGGCTGACAAGGTTTCCTACTGTCTGCCTACTCTTGTATTCCCGTCGAGACCCCTCTGTCCTGTGTCAGCCAGCCAAAAGCACTTGTCTTGTCTAGTGACTTTCATCACTTGATCATCGTCAGCACATAGACGCAGGGCAGGTTCGTATGGCGGTAATTGTCTTGATATTTATGTTGGAGGTGCTGAATTCGAATCTATGCCACAACACCGACTGTCCTGACTGAGGTATTCGTGATTTTCTTCAGTTCCAAGCAAATGCTGGGGTAGTACTTAGATTGCGCCATGATCATCTTAATTGTAAGATTTGAGGCTTTCACGGCGGTGACTATGAAGAAAGCAGTCTGCTGGGATTTGGCACCGTGTATATGTGGTGTTAACCGACGTTTCGGAGGAACGTATCGCCTCCATCTTCAGGGTAGATACGTTCCTCCNATATACACGGTGCCAAATCCCAGAAGACTGCTTTCTTCATCATCTTCATTATTTGCATCCTGTTGTATGTCACGATTTGTGATACTCTGGCCGTCAACACAACAAATATTAGAAAATAAACCAATGTAGTTGTTTACATTGATTTCATATAATAACTGATACATGTTTCGAAGTGTCTTCATCCGCTCGAACACTGAGATCGTGGGTTCGAATCCCACTCAAGGCATGGATGTTTGTCTGCGTTTATTTTGTGTTT